AACACCATTCATTGTTTGTTAGAAAACACAGACAAGCTACTTCAGTGTCCCCAAGAGGGATTTGAAGGAATATTTAACTGACCCAGTTCCCTAAGCTATACCCCCATAGCACTTAAACACCACTTTCATTGCACTAAAAATAGTTCTGATTGAACAAATTACCACATTGATAAAAATATTCAAATAATTCAAGGAAATAAGAAGCAGACCTGTCACCAAAGCTTCATTCAACAACAGAAGAGTTCAGTATTGATATCTGGAAGAAGCATTAAGTATATGTCATCTAAGGATGCCAATAGTAGAACTGCATGCCTCAGTTTACTTGGAAAACAGGAGTTAGAAAAACCTGGTGATTCATCAAACAACCCATTAATAACATGTGTGATAGGTTAGTAACTAATTTCCACACACACACACACACACACACACACACACACACACACACACACACACACACACCACAAGAAAAAAGAAGTTTCTCTGGTATAGTTTCACGGCCTCAGTTTAACCGATGGGGTCTGAATTTGTACAGGACCAAATAGAAATGTTGCAAATTCGGTAGTATGGCGTGAAAATATACATCAGTGAAAAACACATGGCACTCTATATGTAAGTTCTTTGTCGTGGCTTGAATCTAGATTGTCCCAATAGACCCACATGTTTTGAACAGTTGGTTCTCAGCTGGCACTGCTAGTGTGGAAAGCCCTGAAAACTTTGGAATCTTTCAGTAGGAGGAATTAGCTCAGTAGAGGTGTGTTCTTAAAGCCCACAACCAGTTCCTGATCCCTTCCTTGATCTCCACTTGCTGCATAGCTGCTATGAGGTGAATGACCTCCTTATCCACATGCTCTTCCCATATGACCTGCCTCACACTGGAAGCAGAATCAAAGGAAGTGACAGACTCCATTGGAATGCCATCTCTGAAACTGTGAACCAAAGTACATCCCACTTGGCTTGTATTATTTTGATTAGGTTGTTGTTGTTGTTGTTGTTGTTTTTCACTGAGATGAGAAAAAAGTAGTGGATACCCTCTCCTTATAAAGCTTCATTAGCTGAGCCATTGCTGGTCACACTCTACTCCATGTATTTCACCTAAGAAATCACCTTTGCCTTCATCTTAGATTCACTCTCCCAAATTCTTCTGGTGGCCAAATATACATTGTACTTCCAGGCATGTAGTTTTCTGAACTTTATTCATTCTCTAGGAAGCTTCTTTCTGATTTTACATGAAAACATGTTAATGTGATGAAGCCTTTTCAAACCTTCAGCCATTTTTTTCCTCCGATTTTCTTAGAATATTTTATTTAATTTTTTTTTTTTACCAAACTTCTCTTAAAGGCATCTCTTCTTCCTCTATTCTGTTCTGCACCCACACCCACACCCCAGGGTTTCTGTCTCTCTCTCTCTTGCTTCTTCTCCCTGCACCTCTCTGCAGCTCTGAATGCTGTTTCTTCTCCTCCGTGAACTAAGAATAATCTCAATGCTCAGTTCACTTCCCTCCCACAAGTTCACTATCCTGTTCCCTTTTCTGACCTGCCACCACCAGTGCTGGTTATGGTGTTGTTCTTGTTTGTCAACTTGACATAATCTAGGGTCAGGGGAGAGGGAATCTCAATTAAGAAAATGCTTCCATCAGATGGTCCTGTAAGCAAGTCTGTGAAGTGTTTTCCTGATTAATGACTATTGTGGGAGGGCCCCCGAATGACTGATGTGGAAAGATCCAGACTGCTATGGGTGGTGTTACCCCAGGGCAGTTGGTCCTGTGTTGTTTAGAAGAATCAACTGGGCAAGTAACAGACAAAAGCCAGTAAGCAGCATCTCTTCATGGTCTCTCCTTCAGTTCCTGCTTCCATGTTAGAATTCTCTTCCCTGGCTTCCTTCAGTGATAAGCTATGACTGGAAAGTGTAAGCTGAAACAAACCCTATGGTGATATATTGTTTATGATCTAATAAAGACACTGAAGATCAGTGAAGCAAAGCAGTCAGCCAGTAGTTCTCTACCAATGCTTAAATGGAGGTCTTGTCTTCCCTGACTGGAAGCTGAATCTCCATACTGCACGGCACTCCACCAAGCCTCAGAATCCCAGGATGCCCTCTGAGACTGCACTGAGCTCCTTATATTCTCTCTCTCTCTCTCTCTCTCTCTCTCTCTCTCTCTCTCTCTTCATTTCACATGT